GATTAGAACACATGCCTTATAGTGATAGAGCCAAAGAGCTCAGTCCATTTAGTTTAACAAAGAGAAAGTTAAGGGGGTTGTGACACTGTATGGAATATGGGAGACCATTTATAATATTATTGATACCAATATTATAAAACTGCAAAGAATCTGACAGGTATGTTATATAAGGTATCTGTGAAAGTGTTATGATTTGCCAAGTCTGATAATCTTATTTATATGTTTGTACCACCTTTGTCTCATAAATTGTAGCAAGGTATGGTATATCTGTATTTTAATCTTGTACTATGCATCTGGCGAAACCTAACCAGTTTGATGGCCCATCAAAGGTCCTCAGCTGTACAATGAACCCACTGAAAGGAGCTGGTAAGAGAAGAGGGTGTACAACTTATGAGTCAGCAAGGTATGTAGGCGCATATTAGTGCACAGAGAGCTCTGAGGCCTTTCCATGCCATGTGCTAGATAGCTTGGATTTGGGATACAGGAAGTACAAGCTGTTACTGGAAGGTCTGGATTTAATTATATTAAACCAATGGTGTTGTCTGAGAACATTGCTTTTAATTTGAAACCTTAATTCTTAATTTATCTAAATGGGTAAAAAAGGTTGTGGCTCACCTTAAAGAAATTGCCATGGAAACAAGCTAGCTTTACTGACATTTAAAAAAGCACAGATGCCACACTCCGATCAGGAATAGGCAAGGAAGCAGTAAATCTTCAAAAACAAAAATAATATTGTATTTAGATTTGAGAAGCTAAAATAATAGACATAGGTATAATAAAGGTTACAGTTAGAAGGCAATGAAGCAACATGGCAAAAAAACAACAACAATTTCAATTAACTCTATAGCATATAACAATATAACAACATATAAAAAATATAAAAAATAACATATAAAAAATAACAACATAACAATAATAATTTAAACACAACCATAATGCACAACAATATAACAATAGTAATCTAAATATAACCATAACAAATAACAATGCAACAGTAATCATTTAACATTTAATATTTCACAATGAACACCTAACATTAGCAATCAGTCTATTTACATCTAGTAAGCATTGGCTAGGCAGTTACCCTAAGGGTACCGAAAGGTCTCACTCAGACCTCACACACCCAGCTTTATTTATAAGTACAACCCATACACTCTTGCATAGTAAGTAGAAGGATGATTATACTTAAACTGCTTCTTTAAAAATCCCTTTGAACTCTCTTTGAGCTGTCTGCTCTGTCAGAGTAGTGATGGAGAAATACCATGTGGCTTCTACAGCTTGCTCTCACTGAGGGGAAAGTGCTGCCCTCCGGTAGCAGAGACAGAAGTCTGCTTAGCTGCTGGGTAGGCACTACTGTGGTATTCCACTGGTTTGGTTGCGGAAGTAGCTGTTATCCAAGGCAACCCACAAATTCTGCCATTGCTGCTGCAATAGCTGCTCTTCGGGTAGCTGCTTCTTTGCAGGGTTCCATTACTGCTGACATCACTGCTTCTCAGGTGCAGCCTTCTTCTTATGTATTTTGTAGTTTCTTCTCTTTCCCAAGCCCTCAATCCCACTGTCAGGCCCCCCAACCTTTATGAAAATTGTCTTCTAACTATTAATTTGCATAACCTGAAAATGCTTTAGGCAAAATGCATCACATAACATCATTTTTAAAGTTACAGCCTGCTGAATGGGCATATTCTATTTTTGCGCATCTATCATTCTTGCTGCTTTTCCAGAAAAACTGACCAGTGTAGACACAGCCGATGTGTTTCTTTCAAAAATGGCAGGCTTTTTCGAAAGATCCTGTAAACCTCAGGATCTTTCTAAAAAGCCTGCCATTTTGGAAAGAACCGCGTGTAGACTGCCGTTTTACTTTCGAAATGGCACTTTTTCGAAAGAGTGCCATGATGCAATTATGCAAATGAAGCAGGGGATATTTAAATCCCTACTTCATTTGCACTTTTGAAGTGCCTCCTTTACATCCCTCTGTCAACAGAGGGATGTAGTCTAGACACTGCGAGAGAGAGAGAGACAATGACTGGTCCAAAGATCTTCTGAGCCAGAAAGTATTTAACTAAAAGTTATTAACTAATTTTCTAGTAGCTTGTGGAGTTATCTGAAACATTTAAAACATTAAAACACAGCCAGAAATAATCGGGCAGAGGCAGGGGAGATGATGGAAAATATGATATAAAGGTCTTTTCAATCCCTTATTTCTGTAATTATGTATTAGATTAATTGCTTTTCAGTACAATTTTGTGGTTTTTATGTTAGTACAGGAAATTATTACTACTCTGTTGCTCATTGCTTAATGTGATGACTAGTTGTGGAAATACATGTCCATTTCACAGTAGTGTCAATAATATCTGAATAAGTACAAGCAAAGCCAGAAGTCTAAGTGCAGTGGCCATCATCTTAACTCCAAAGCCTATATATGCTCAAATAACTGGTCTGATCATAAGAGATGCTGAGCAACTGCAGCTACCAGCCAAAGAGAGTTCGATAATCCAGTGAAAATAAGGCCAATTTTCACTTATTTGTGCTCAGTATGCATTTTGAATGTGGGAGGCTGGGTAAGCTGATTGAAAAAGTAGAAAAGATTTCTACAAAATGGCTACCACTGACTTAACTACATTTATGGAGTGAGAGCTCATGCCCCCTTCCCAGGTACAAGAGCTCTACCTTCTGGGTGTGTCTCAATCACAAGAAGCTTCTCTTGGAACACAGATAGTAAAGGTAGACAACAATATTCCTGCTTTCAGTAGCTACCTCTTAGGACAAACAAATATATAGTATCCCCAAGTATCTTTTTGATAATCAATACCTAGTTGGTTTATCCCTTACAGTATATGAATGTCCTCTTGTTTATACCATAAACACTTAGGCAGTGTCTACACTGGCATGAATTTCTGGAAATGCTTAAAACGGAACAGTTTTCCGTTATAAGTATTTCCGGAAAACGAGCGTCTACACTGGCAGGCTGCTTTTCCGGAAATTCAAGGGGCCAGTGTAGACAGCTCGCAGCTTATGCCGGAAAAGCGGCTGCTTTTCCGGAAATTCAAGGGGCCAGTGTAGACAGCTCGCAGCTTATGCCGGAAAAGCGGCTGCTTTTCCGGAAATTCAAGGGGCCAGTGTAGACAGCTCGCAGCTTATGCCGGAAAAGCGGCTGCTTTTCCGGAAATTCAAGGGGCCAGTGTAGACAGCTCGCAGCTTATGCCGGAAAAGCGGCTGCTTTTCCGGAAATTCAAGGGGCCAGTGTAGACAGCTCGCAGCTTATGCCGGAAAAGCGGCTGCTTTTCCGGAATAAGTGGCCCAGTGTAGACACAGCCTTAGGGTATGTCTACACAGCAGTATTATTTCAGAATAATAACAAAATGCATGTATATACAAGTCTTTATTTCAAAATAATATCTAACTGGAGGACTGCTTATTCCAACTCATGGTAACCCTCATTTCATGAGAAGTAAGGGAAGTCGAAGGAAAAGTGCAGACAGCACCAAAAGCCGATTTAAGCTATTTCAACTTAAGCTATGCAATTGATGTAGCTGAAGGTACGTAGCTTAATTCAATTTTAGCCCTGCTGTGTAGATGTGGCCATAAAAATCCCTTCTTCTCACCCCCACTATATTCCCTGCATCAAATAGGGTAAATTGGTTCAAACAAAAAAAAATTAAATCACCAACAAGGAAGCCTTGATTTAAATAAGTGATTGTAATCCCTTTTCCCCCATTTGTACCTCTTAAGTTATTTCCCTAAAGGATTCATTTTCATTGGTTGGAAGCCATTAAAACATGCTTATTTGCAACTTTTTAGAGCCTTTACACTCAATTTATTATATTATATTATTATTATTTTATTATTTTGTAATCAGGAGGATATACTATATCTTTATACAATTATTTAAGGTATTGTGTGGGTTTTTCCATCTTTCTCTGTAGTATGTGGCACAGGTCACTTAGGGTGCCTCTACACAGCTCTTAGCTCAAAATAAGCTATGCAATTTGCAAATTGCATAGCTTATTTCGATGCTATTTCAAAATAGCTTATTTAATAATTTGATATTGTCTTCACAGTGCCAAATTTCAAAATAACTCGCTATTCCCCTTAAACCTCGTGTTACTCAGATATCAAAATAAGCCAACCATTATTTCAAAATCTATTTCAAAATAAGTCTGCTTTAAGAGATGCGGAATAGCTATTTTGGGACACATCCCGTATCCAAAATAGCCCCATAGTGTAGACATAAAATACCCTTACAGATTTACACTAGTGTGAATGGTGGAGTCTCAGTAACTTGATTTCCTTAAATTATGATTTGAGGACTTCAGTAACTCAACCCGAGATTATGGGTCTGTAACAGGTGTGGATGAGTGAGGCTCTGTGGCCTGCAATGCACAGATGTCAAAGTAGATGATCATGATGGTCCCTTGTTCTGGCCTTAAAAATCTATATGTTTAGTAGCAAATGACAGCTTAAAATACATTCATTCTGATTCCTATTTTTTGTTACAAAAAGGGTGATTGGTGCACTTTTTTATTTAATGGATTATTATTAATTTTTTACTAATAATTTGTGTGAAGTTGCACTTGGGTAGAAATCAGAATTCAATTAATAATATACAAAAACAGCATTTACTTTTTTATTTAAATGAAACTACCTTAAATTTGCTACAGACACAAAAAAAATTATCATAAGTTTTACATTTAAAACTGTTTCTTAAACAAAAACGCGCATAAACAGAGTGTATGTTAATTCAGCTGGGAGAGGCCATAACATAAGGATGGTCCATTTCAGTGTTTCTCAACCAGTGGTAGGAGTACCCTCAGGGGTACTTGAGAGAAGCCTGGAGGGTATGTCAACACAACTGAAATTTGGAGAAAACTGAATTTTTGTTTTAAGTTTTATAGCACTTATTATTTTTGTACTTTTTACAGCCAAAAATGTCATCACCCACCTGGCTACGATTAACTTGTTTAAACAAATGTGTTGCAATGATAGAAAAAAAGTTATGTGTCTGAAAACTGTAGGTACCGGGGGTACTCTCTCTCTCTCTCTTTTTTTAGGGGATACTTTATAAAAAAAAAAAAAAAAGATTGAGAAACACTGGTCCATTCTGCATGAAAACTAACTTCCACATAATCCTACATGAACAGGTCATTTGCTATTTGATTGAGTTTTTGAGGCTTTTGTCTTGGTGACTTCCTGTATTTTGACAGTGCCTGTGCACATATATATTGTAGGACTGGCATCCACAGTGATGTAAAGAGGTCTGCATTTTCTTTTAATGACAGAGGAGCTACAAAGGATAAAATGAGGCTCTTAAAACTATTAGGCTGCTGTATTAAGTCAATGGCAAAGTTCTAATGGGAGCAAGACTGGACCCTAATTAACTCAAGTTTGCAAAGTGCTTTGAAATCCTTGGCTATAAGATAAAGTGCAAAATGTCCTTTATGAAAAGACCCTATTACTAGAGCTTCTACCACCTCCTTTGGGAGACTGCACACTAATCTAAGGTATAGGAGGGCAAACTATGGCCTGTGGGTCACATCCAGCCCCCAGGATCCTCCTGTCAGCTTCCGAGTTTCTGCCTAAGGGTCCCCCTAGAGGAGTTGCTGGTTGGGGAGCACATCTCCAGTCTCCCAAGAGGTGCTGCCACCAGAGCAGTACCTTTGTTGCCACCACAGATAGCCCCTCCACCTCTCCCCTGCTGTCTTCCCCTCCCCTGCAGCCTCAATTTGTCATGCCACCAACATTGATGTTCCTGCCAGGCAGTGTAGCTGCAATGCCACATGCCCTGGTGCTCCAGATAGTGCAATAAGGGGGCGGGGAATATGGAGAGTTGGATAAGAGGCAAACGGTCCCAGGAGGTGGTCAGGAGATGGGAAGTGGGGAGGCTAAATAGGAGGCAGAGGTCTGTGGTAGTTGGAGGCAGGGAGTTGGATAGGAGACATCTCCGCCTAACCTTCCCTATCCAGCACTCCATACAATTTCAGAACCCTGATGTGGCTCTTATGCCAAAAAATTTGCCCATCCCTGATATAAGAGATGTCATTCTCAGGTAGGCTTAGCTCATATTCTTCACCTACATTACCTAAATGACTCCTACCTCCTAAATCTCTTCTGAAAGTGGCGTTTTACTGTTCTACACACTTCTTGGGTAAATTCATACGTCTCTGAGGAACTTCCTATCACATCAATGTGAGTATCATAAGGAATAACCAAAATTTTGGGGAATTGGGATTTTATGCTCTCACATGCCTGTTTATATTTCTGCCTTTCTGATCTAGTATTGCTGTTGAATCTTTCTTTACGTAAGCTGCAATGAAGTTTTGCAGATAATTCTTCAATTTCCTCTTTGGCTCTTTCTAATTCTCTCGAATCAGAACTAGCTCTGGTATTTTCTAGATATATTGTGGTGATCTCACCGTCTGTGACTTCACGACTTACAACCTTGTATTTTCCCAGACTTTCCTTGTAAAAAAAATGTTTCATGTAATAGTATATATCTGTATCAAGGACAACTACTTGTTCTTCCCCGCTTACATTATCGACAAATTTATTATTTGGCTCCACAAAGAGTCCTTGTTTTTGGGTCCTACTGTTAGGTCGCTGATCCAGCTTTTTCTCTCCCCTCTTACTGTTTCCTGAAAGGGAATTTGCTTTCGATAACAAATAGTCTTTTAGTGATTTGATTGCTGAGAATGACCCCTGAACAGAAATTTGCCCATTGGATTGCAATGGACTGAAGTTGAGAGCTGGGATAGTTTTCCACAGTTCTTGCACCAGATCTTCCAAAACATATTTTTCTCCAAAAATTGACAGATTGAGAACAGATGACACACAGGTGAAGATCTATACATATAAAATAAAATCAATTAATAAGTGCACCACAGAAATGACTGCACCATTTGGACACTATGATGGAAGGACTTACATGTTCACCGTAGAGAGAGATTTTCAGAGGATAATACCTGCCCAGCCTCTTGTCCTCTAGTCTGTGTTCATCTTTCTGGAGAACATTCTTTGTAACTGAGAAGAAAATTCAGACTCACTTTGTTTTGCAAGAGGATCATAATGTTTTATTTTCTGTCTGATGGTTGGTTAGAATATTTCATTAATGTTTTTCAAGATGGTTTTCCAGTGATTTCCCCACTGCTCAATATTCTCCTGATATTTTAGGCATTACTCAAAATTGTTCAAAGGAAAATAAGAACAGCCTGTCTCCTCAGAACAGTAAGGTTATGTCTACACAGCAGTGTTATTTCGGAATAATTGATGTTATTCCAAAATAACAAAAAGTGCATCTCCATAGCAAGCCATTACTTCGAAATAATGGCGAGCTAAGGGACTTCTTACTCCGACTCCTGTAATCCTCATTTCACAAGGAGTAAAAGTGTTCTTCCTTCGGCTTCCTGCTGTGTAGACACCAAAAGTCATATTAAGCTATTTTGACTTCAGCTACGCAATTGACATAGCTGAAGTTGTGTAGCTTAATTCGACTTTTGCCCTGCTGTGTAGACATGCTCTAATTGGCAGAGATTTATTCCCTAAAACTTGACTATAAAAATCTCATCTGCTATTCAGGTTCTAGATTTATTCTTTTACTAGCCTTAAAAGACACACACACACTCTGCCTGAAACCTATTCACATTAGTTTCCTTAATAACAGGAAGAAATCTTAAAATCTGGAATTAAAATGAAGGTGTACAAAAACCGCATATATAAAGCCCCAAACACTGGCAATTAACTGAACATATTTAGTGTTTTAAGTGTAATATTCTAAATTACATCCTTGTGCTTCATGGATGCAAGTATGTTATTTATTAATATAAATACCTTCTAGATCTTCAAAGATTATGTATGCAACTCCTTTTACTGTTGTTGGATACACTACGTCCTGCACATCTCCACCCCTATTCTTTGACTTTTGGAAATGAATCATCAGTATGTCAGCCATGACATCATCTTTCACAATGTTATCTGGAATACCAGAGACCACAATTGTTTTCTCAGACTTGGCAGCTTGTTCTGTGGCCTGTGGACCAAGAAATGACACACTGTAAATACAAGTTATATGTGCAGTGACTTATGCAACTAGCTGTTCCCTCCCATAAGAGATTTCCTAGCACCTCGCTCATATGCACTCTGTCACACCATCCTTCAAGTATAAAGATACATAATACATCTGCTCAATTCCTGAAGCAGGAAGAATGCTTAATCAACTCTTGAGTCTCTCCATAGACCTCATAGATAATTTCACCAAGGCTTAATTCTCATTTACGCTAAAGGTCTGTCTACATTACAGAAGCATAGCTACCATGATGCAGCTGCGAACTGTAGTACAGATGATTCCTAAATCAAAAGAAGGGAATTTTCTAACAGTGTATTACAGTCCACTTCTCCAAGAGATGGTATAGACAGTCAGAAGGAAGGATTCTTCTGTTAGTCTAGCTATGTCTAAAGGGCTAACAAAGGTGTTAGGTCAACCTAACTGTGTTGCACAGGGCATGACACTTTTCACAGCCCTAAGAGATGTAGCAAGGGCAATCTAAGATATAGGGTACGTCTAGACTACATGCCTCTGTCGCCAGAGGCATGTAGATTAGGCTACCAGACATAGGAAAATGAAGCGGCGATTTAAATAATCTCCGCTTCATTTAAATTTACATGGCTGCCGCGCTGAGCCGACAAACAGCTGATCAGCTGTTTGTCGGCTCAGCGCGGCAGCCATGTAAATTTAAATGAAGCGGAGATTATTTAAATCGCCGCTTCATTTTCCTATGTCTGGTAGCCTAATCTACATGCCTCTGGCGACAGAGGCATGTAGTCTAGACGTACCCTATATCTTAGATTGCCCTTGCTACATCTCTTAGGGCTGTGAAAAGTGTCATGCCCTGTGCAACACAGTTAGGTTGACCTAACACCTTTGTTAGCCCTTTAGACATAGCTAGACTAACAGAAGAATCCTTCCTTCTGACTGTCTATACCATCTCTTGGAGAAGTGGACTGTAATACACTGTTAGAAAATTCCCTTCTTTTGATTTAGGACCAGGCCTAAGGCCTTTTTACCACTATGGAAAGGGACCTCAGAGTGGATGTAAATTACATTCACCTCCACTTCAAGTGCCAGAGCAGTGCAATTGAAAGCAGTCTTTCAGACTTAAGTGGCTTCTAAAATGAGCAGTATGTGGTGTATTATTAATAAGACTGCTTTTGTTCTATTTTCTGATTCCAACGTTCAGAGTGTGATTAGAGGTGGAAAGTAATACTGTGACCGGAGTCTCAGTGGAGCCACAATAAGATTGCTCAACTAGGGCAAACTGCAAAGAATGGGGCAGATGATCCCCCAAACTGGTAGGATACTTCTAATACTTAGGCTCACAACACCATCATCAAAATAGCTTCTACAATAGCCATCTGGTTACCCAGAACCCAGAAATATAGTTCCCTTAAAGCAATCCAGACTTGAGCTCCCATCTAGACAGTCAGATATGATAAGAACTACTGAAAATCTTGTTTGTCACATAAAAAGTTCTACCAATCCCAAAGAATTGGACACATTTCCCACCAGGTCAATGAATAGTTCAGATTTTACCCAAACATACATTTATAGCTTTTGTTATTAACTGAATCAAAATTTATTAGAAAAGAAAAAAAGAAAGTACTGGCTAAAACATCATTATAAAATGGACTTGAATACAATTCTTAGGTCAATTTCACAGCACAGATGGTGAGCTTTGGGCGCAAAGAGTTCTTTTAGAATAAGTTCCATGTGTTACACTCCAACATCAGGGTGATCCAGACTGGAGCTGGAGATGTCAGTCTTACAACTCAAACTTGCTCTGACAAAGCTTATCCAGATCTGAGATACAGAATTAAGGCAGTAGAGTTCTTTGCAGAGTTGTCTGGCAGCCCCTTGACAGCAGGCATTCCTTGCATGAAGCATTGTGGCTTTGAAGTAAAACCTTCTATTTCCCAAGCACCACTGATAATTAGCTACATGGATTAGCATAAGGCAACTGCCCATCTCCTGCCATGTTCAAGTAGTTTACTACAAACTTCAAAGAGAAATGAAGGCATTGATACTATGACATTCAAGGTTCTTCTAAATATCAACATTTTCTTTTGATCTCTGAATTAACGGACTACAGAGACAAACAGGAATCAATTGGTTACAATGTCAACCTCTAACAATATCTAAGTAAACACACCAAAAATATAATTATATACTAATATCTCTCTAAAGGTTGAATTTAGGTCATTTAGCCTGCAAGTTGCTTAACCTTTTCTGGTTCAGGCTCACATCTGCTATTTATTAGTCTGTAGAGATGGCTCTGACTGCAATTTTAAGGCTCAGATTCAAACCTCTCCAAAGTTCAGTATAGCTAGAATACAGGATTACATTGGAAGACCATATCTACAGTCACCTGAGATGTGCAACATGCAAAATAGTTCAACACATGCACGATACAACCGTAAGATACAACCGGATTTGCTCCAATCCCACAGTCAGGGAAAAACGCCTACAGGATCTATATAGAACATTCTTAAAACTGAAATACCCACCCAGACAAGTGAAAAAACAGATTGACAGAGCCAAAAGAGTACCTGGTTGTATGTTACGGCATGGCTGTATACAATAGATTGAGAAATGTGTCTGGGATGGAAGCTAGAGGCATGAAAGTAAGTTTAGTGGTCAGTAAGTTTCCTGTCATCTGAAGAAGTGGGCTGTGCCCACAAAATCTAATGATACTATCTACATGTTTTGTTAGTCTTTAGGGTGCTACTAGACTATTTGTTGTTTTTTAAGTAATATCTGAAGAAAATGCATAAGGGAAGGCGTACTTCAAAGCGGGGCGCTGCCACTTTGAAATCACCACCTCTGCATGATTCAAAGGGGTAGCCGTGGACTCCCCAGCTGATCCCGGGCTCCCTGCAGCATTTCCCTGGAACCCGGGATCAGCTGGGGACTCCCCAGCTGACCCCGAGCTCTCAACTGCAATATCTAAGTACCATGGAGTCCCGGTCAGCAGGGGACTGTGAGTCACCCGCTGACCCCAGGGTCCATGGCTTTGAAATGTACAAGAGCCCCCGCTAGGGACTCTTGTGCATTTCAAGTCAGGCACATCACGTGCAGCCTGGAGTCAGCAGGACTTCCCCAGGCTGTAGGCGGAGTTCCGCATTCCTCCTTTGAACATTTCAAGGGAGGAATGCGGAAGTGCCTGTCGACTACTCGAATAGTCAATTAACCTCATTTTAACATCCTTACATCACATATCTCCTCATTCTCTGACTCAAACCCTCTCACACACTTGCATGTTGGTAGGCAAACAGCTGCTGTGTTTTCAACAGTTTTGATCTGTTTAAACTGCTGAAGTGGAAACACTGCAGTCTTTTTAGCTATCTCAGGGTATTGTTGTGATAATGCAAAAATCTTTAGCCCTTCAAAACTCCAGCAAAATATATAGATTTTCTGGAAAAATTAACTGCTAGGCCAGAGAAATAGTGGCCTGGTGGTAAACAAGGAATGTTAAAAATTGTGTAATAAAGTAACCAGGTAACCGCTAAAAATGTTAGTGGTTGGTGTTGGAGGCAAAGGAGGAGCAAGGGGAGAGTAAAAATGGTGGTTGTTCTTTCTCACCTGTTAATGATGTTATTTGGTTCCCTAAACTGTTAGAGTGTTATCTGTTAACCCCCTATCCCTTCCTGGAGTGAGTGCAGACGAATGTCTGAGGTAAACAGCAGGAGTAAACAACAATGCACAGGGCCCCAAGACGCCCAGAGACTCAGAGGCTGCATGTGGCTGATCCTCAAAAGAGAGAGGGACAGAGACAATGGTGGGTTGACCATCAAGTGAAGCCTCCCAGAACGCCCTCTGCTCGGATCACCTGGCCAGTGGACCAGCTTAGGAGTCAACTTGGGAAGATCAAACAACATGAACTGCCTTCTGCTCGTCTTAACATCCTGCCTGGGACTGTAAGTGTGGTTGAGTGTATGAATGAGATTCCCCTCCCTTCCCAGTTTTAACTGAATAAGCAAACCCTTTACACTCCTATGTGGTGATCCCCTCTCCTTAGTGTTTAAAGCAGTTGCAAGCCACATCCCCTTGCAACAGTTACACGGTTACCTATGATGTAGACTATTTAAACTGCAAAGCCGGCAGCGAAGCCTCCCGTTGCCCACTCAGCTCCTGGGGAGGAGGCTTTGCTGCCCTGCTGCAGCAAAGCTGCTTCTCCGGGAACCTGCTGAGTATAAGCAATAAGCATTAGGGATATTAAGGACTAGTTGGCTATTCGATAAGCAATTACCTATCAATAGTCGACAGGATAGTCAACTAGTCGCTCCCCCCCCCCTCCTTGCTACCTCTATCAACACATCACTACCACTTTCAAATGCCGTTGCAGCATTTCAAAGGAGCAGTGCTAGGGTTGCCAGATGGTTTAACCAAAAATACCAGGCACGCCTGACATGACATCACAATCTGCATTCCATCTGATTTAGAAAATACCCGACATTTATCAGAGGAGTAGCCGCGTTAGTCTGAATCTGCAAAAGCAGCGAGGAGCCCTGTGGCACAGAACTCCTTGCCGCTTTCGCGGACATTGAGAAAATATAAATTTGTTTCCCGAAGAAAAAGCTGAAAGCCTGGACCGTCCAGTTCAAAACCGGACACCTGGCAACCATAAGCAGAGTGGTGCCTTGTCGGAGCGGTTCCAGCCTCCACTCTGCTTGCTGGGATTCCGTCCGAGAGAAAAAGGACATACAGGACATTTCACATGTTTGGTATTTTCTGTTTTTTTTACCAGACAGGGGACCCAAATAACAGGCAGTCCGGGTGAAAACCGGACACCTGGCAACCTTAGGCAACGTATAACTTGTGCAACTAAAGCAACTTTATCTCATGGATATTTGGTTCTTTTTATTGAGCCTTAAAAATCTATGTTTCTTTCAGTAATTGTGTCCGCATGGAGCCTAGAGACAGCTACTGCAGCATTTCAAAAGGGCAGCACCCCCTATCGATTAATTGAATAGTCGATACAAAAATGCATTGACTATTAGATTAGTGAAATACATATTACTTAACATCTTTAATAAGCATCAGCTTATTGATTAATTTGTTATACTCTAGCATCCCTCTGGTAACCCTAGTCCTCAACCCTTGAGATATACAGTTCAGTTTTCACTCAAGCTTTGTCATGTGCCTGAGTGTTCAGAGGTGTTCCTGGTATTTTAGCTCGTAGTCACACAAAGAGACTCAGGCTTCTAGCTCTTGAATACCACCCACTGTGACAGTTTACTCTCTCTGATGAATAAGAGGGAGCCAGCGTTTTGGCTGGCACACATTCCAGATGGGAATGTCTAATGTTCAATGTCAGTGTGTTAAGTTACAAATAACTTCTTTGAATGACCAATCCAGGCCAGTTCACTAACCATTTCATTTGCTAGTATCAATTCAGACACAACAGTTAATGTTCTGTATTGTTCACGTGGTGGGTCAGGGAGGCTGGGGGAGGAGAGGGAAGAAGGAAATAGCCGAGAAAGATAATACAGCCCTCCCCCTCTAAACCCGGGGGCAGTATCCGGACTCGCTTGGTAGTGTGAATGTACTGCCTTCCTTGAGAGCAGTGCCGGTGCAGACTGGCAAAGGGCTTCTGCACGGATGGCCTTCACCTCCCCCACTGTAGCTCCTCCACACACAGCGAGATTCGGAGGCAAATCCTCCTCCTCCTGCTGCTGCTCTGGCCCGGGGAGGGGGTATCTCCCGGAGTGAATCCCCCGCGGAGATTTCTCCCCCACAGCCCCTGCACGCTGGCTCTTGCTGCAGGCGGAGCTCGATCTGACCAGTGGCATTTCATTAGCTTCTATATAACAAGGGGTTTGCACCCAGCTGCCCGGCCCTTCTCGGGGCTCAGCAAACGTGCCGCGCTAGGCATCCCAGCGAGCCCTCTCCCCTTCCTCCCGCCCAGCAATAGAGCCTGGCACCGGGCAAACCGCGCTCGGTGCACCGTGCCGCTCGGCTACGCCACGAAACCCCACAGAGCGAGTCACTTGCCATGATCGTCCGGCTTGCCCGCTTGCGCAGCGCAGCGCGGACCGGAAAACGCAACCCCGCAGCAGGATTTAGTTTCACTTCTTCGTTGGGTTTCCCTGACAGCCTCGCCGCTCGTCAGCCTGTCTGGGCGCAGCGCTTGCTGGGAACCGGAGTCCCCTGCATCTCCGCAAGGCTGTGAAAAGCAACAGGCAACTACAAATCCCAGCTCACAGGCTCCTGCTGCGGCGCGACGCTCGCTTCTAACTGCGGCAGGTCTCCTTGCTGTGTAAACCCACGGCTTAAACTTAACCCTTAAGCACCCCTAAAGCGAAGCGGAGCAGGAGCAAGAGGCGCTGCTATGCAGGGATTAGGTTTTCCCTCTAGCGTCTGTGCCCAGTTTCCATTTTGCATTCCCAGGGCTGTAACTAACACGATTAATTATGGTCAGGCAGTGATAAGAGCTGTCGTGCCAGGCGTGGGTACAGCATGTGCCCTGTGTGATCGCGATCTGCACGCAAGCACGAAACCATCACAGATTGTCACACCAGCATTCGGACTGAGCGCCGCAGATAAACCCACGGATATGGTGACCATAGGGCCCCAAAAATCCGGGACTTTCCTGATTTCTAACGTTCTGTCCGGGTGCCCTGAAATCCCCCAGATTTGACCCAGAAAAAAAGTCCCTCGCTGCTGCTCCTCCTCCTGCCCCGCCCCTCCCTGGGGGAGGAGTCAGGGACGCTTCCGGGACTTCCCAGCGGCTAGGGATCCAGCCAATAGAAGAAGCGGAGGCGGTGCCTGTAGGGGCCTGGGAAGCTGAGTAAGTGGCTGGGCTGCGGGGCCGGCGTGGACAAAGGAAGGGGGAGGGGAGCGGCCCGGCTGGGCGAGGGAGAGGAGCCTCCTCCTGCGGCCTAGCTGGGTAGGGGGAGGGGAAAAGCGTCCCTCAGCCTCGGGCGGCGACTGGAGAGTGGCGGGAGAGCAGGCGGGGGCGGAGAGCGGCTATCCCCCCCCCCAAGCCCGCTCCTGCATCCACTGTTCCTCCTGCGCCCTCCTTCCTGACCACAGGCTGAACCCTCCCTTGCTCTTGCTCCCTCCCCCTAGCCAGATGCTCTACTCCCAGCCTGCTTGTGCACGCTACCTACCACCCAGATCTTGCAACCTTTACCTCTTCTGTTCCCCCACCTCCCTCCCAGATCCTGCACCCCATCCCTCGCCTATTCTCTGACAGCCCTGTCACATGTACTGAACCCCTCATTTTTGTCCCCACCCCAGAACCTAAGGGGGCTCCATAAAATCTACCAGAAAAGTTGGGGTGGAATGCCAGAGTGAGGTGTTTCATTTGGGGGCCACTTTGTTGAGGGTTGGGGGTTTGGGAAGATTTTTCTGTGGATCAGTGATCCCTGGCCCAAATAATGTTCCTCGCCCCTGCCATAGATAAAGAATACATTAAAACCTTTTGTGTTGGACATAATATTTTATTGTTTAAAATGAAGTTTGATTAACCATTTTAACTTTCTCATGTTAGTTTATCAGTTTAATCATTTAAATTAAGCCATTCTCCCTAGCTGCAACATTAGAAAAATGACTCGGGTGTAATGATGTAATTAATGGTGAGTTTCCATTAGCAACTGATAGTCCATGGAAAGTTTTACATTGGCCTGTGGACCCCCTGACTCAACAAGGTTGAGAATCACTGAAATAGAGGTACCTTTGGCCTCTCCCCCCGAGAAACCTCCCCAGGCTTCCTCTTGCTCCAGAATTGCTCACAGAGATTTCGGGTCTGTTACCACAGTGGTGAAATCACACTGTCACTCTGATGTGGATAATGGACAGACTCCTTATGAATTTTTCCTCATCCAAGCAGTTGATGATTTAAACAATGTGTTAAGATGCCAAGTGAAAACACTTGGTGCATCCACAGAGAGGCAGGATGTATCGTCTCTCTACAGCGAGGGTTGTGTCATTGAACCTTTGTGAGCTCTGTGGAAAGGTGAGATGTTTTGGCTTCCAGCTTCAAAGGAATTTGTTCTGTCTTTGGCCTGCACATTGCCTAGACTTGAATGGACGAGGGTTGTGTCATTGAACCTTTGTGAGCTCTGTGGAAAGGTGAGATGTTTTGGCTTCCAGCTTCAAAGGAATTTGTTCTGTCTTTGGCCTGCATGGTACCTACACTTGAATGAAGTTAGTTGTGACAACACATTTCTGAGTTATTGTGACCCAAAGTGAAACCTGTGCTAAAGACCCCACATTCAGTGAGAGAAAGCACTCCTGTCAGAAGTTTCTCCAAATTTCTTCAAAGATTGCATCTACTAGGCAGTGGGGTTTGACTGATTAGTCCCTAATATTTTTGAAGGATGACTAAATATTACCTTTATCTCAACAGATTGCTTTGGGCCCAATCCTAGTTTAAAATTAAATTGGATCAGGTGCTTTGTAAGCAGGTTGGGAACTGGTCTCATTTGGCAATTATTATTAGGTATTAGTAACATAGGCATTCCCCAGAGACAGGGGCTGATCTGTTAACTGGTTAATGTTAGATCACAATGGGGCTGCCACTGGTTCCCAGCATTTCCCTCCTCACTCCCTGTTACCGCTGGGGCCTGGATAATACTCAAATATGGCCTGATGGTGAAATTGCAGTCAAAAGAAAACAGATCCGCCCCCTCCCTCATGGTCTATCACCTGTGAATTAGGCCAATAAAGGAAAACAGACTCTAATGAAAGGTGAAAGCAAAAATAAACTATATCAGGGATTGTATACAATATTAAGGGAAAAGCAGGGGAGTAACCTGACGCAAACCAAATAACCTTTAACGAAACAGTGGAAGTGAACAGTAAAACCCTTAATGTCCCAACTGGACTGCGTGAAAATAATTGGTAAGTTCTACCCCAAATACAAATGGTTACTTTACTCTTCTGGACTGGAGTGGCTGAGCCAGAGGTGTGTTACCCAGGACATGGAACCTTTGGGCTGATTGAGAGCCCTCAGGGAGGAACGCTGGGGAGTCCCTTGCTGGTGGTACAGGAACCCCGAAGAGGATGGCAGGCAGATAACACTTGTGTAGATGGAAGATAGTGGATGGGGTGCCCTCTTCTATTCCTCTGACTGGCTTGCAGCTGGATCAGATCCCTTGGTGGTTTCAGGAGAGAGAGCTGATGGCCCGCACAAACACTGCCACTCAGATGGACAGCACCCCATATGGGCTGTGTCTGGACTTATGAAACCTTCAGGGTGGGAAAGCCCTGAAGTGATTTTTACCACGTGACCCCTCAGTGGGGACCAGTTCTAAGGTAACTAAGAAAAGGTGAGAAATTCCGGTCTGTGCCGGTTCTTGTTTACCACTCTGAGGTGGAGAGCCCCCCCTCCTCCGGTCCTGAGGTCATCTAGTATACA